GCCAGCCCAGCACAGTCCCAAAGCGCTCGAGGTGGGCGACGGGCCCCGGGCCACAGTGGCGGTATGTCCTGCATACTCGTCCGCACGGAGTCCTGAGAGCCCGTCCCCAGGTCCACTGTGCGTTCCCAGCAGCCTCGTAAGGAAGCGTCTGGGAGTCACAGAGTGTGAGGAGAGTCAGGACACCACGCTGCCCGCAACTAAATGGCCACCCGCTCGGCCAGAGGCACTGGGACCCTTGCAGCCGCCGGCTCCACACAGTGGCCAGAGCCACAGGGCCTGGCGCTCCCCACGGTGGGCCGTCTGTGCTGCCCCGACACGGCCGACCGAGGCGGCGTCAGCACCCGGCCCGGGTGCCCGTTCTCCGGGCAGTCTGACAGGGGACGGGGACAGACGGCCACCCGCTTTGCCCGTCGTGCGTGAGCACTTCCTCCTCGTGAGGAGGAAAACGACAGGACAGACCCTGTTTCGGAAGGACCCGCCCCCTTTCCTGACGCCCCTCTCCCGAAAGTGGGCCGCCCGGCCCCTCAGACACCCCAGCCCGCTTCCGGAACCAGAAGAGGCGTCTGGTGTGTGGTGGTGCGTGTGTGCGCATGTGTGCACGCGTGTCGGGGTGTGTGCGCCCGTGTGTATAAGCCGCTTCGCCTCGTGTCTCAGAGGCTCGGAAGCCAAGTCTGAGCCGCGGACCCTGTGAACACGAGGCCGACTGAGGACCAACGGTCAGTGTCAGGGGCAGAGTGTGCTCGCCGGGCGTGGCACTCTCAGAGAGAAAGCAAAGGACCTTGTAAAGAGAGAACTTTTGTGACAAAGTTCGTGTTTCCCAGGTCTGTCTGATTCCGAACACGCTCTTCGGATTTTGAATTTTTTGGAATTCGCAGGGAGGCAGCCGGCCGAGGGCATCGACGCGGGTGGGGGCCGATTCCCTGGGGGCCGATTCCCTTCACCTCTCCCCTCTTCGTTCTCAGGCCCTGTCGTCACGCATTGTTCTCCGTCCCCTGCCTCCAATGACGTGGCCTTCACCTCTCAGATGCACGTGGGTGACAGCCAGGCCCCGGCCAGCCGGACGGTTTGGCATCCGATGCACCGTACGTTTCGATTCCAGTCCGGGATCCAGCGAGCCCTCCCCGCAGCCGGCTGCGGCTGCAGAGGCTGCAGACAGCACGGGCTCTGTGTCCGGCTCGGCCGCACCCCCACTGCCCTCGAACGAGCTCCGTGTCCCCTGCAGTCCATTCTGGGACTTTCCTAGAAACCGCAGGCTTGAAGGCATGGGAAGGGGGCGTCATGCAGAGTCGCCTGCCAGCTCCCCCGTAAAATTCCGGGGGAGGAGGCCATGGCACTTGAGCTCGGGCCCACATTGCCTCCCGGCTCCCGCCGCTGGTGGTCCGCCCGCGTTCAGATGCGCAGGCCCCGCTCCCCACTCTCCGTGACCGCGGGAAGGTGAGCGCCAGCTTCCCGGGACTCGCCATGTCCTTGTCCTTTGTCACAGCTGTCTCTGTCTACACGAACGGAACCGTGTTTGCCACCGACACCGACGTCACGTTCATGGCTGTTACCAAGGAAACTGGTCCGCTGGAGTTCGCGTGGTATTTCGGAGAAGACGCCCCGGTGAGGACGACTTCCAGAAGCATCCGGAGACGGCTCGCTGCCCCTGGGCGGTGCGTACGCGGGCGGCACGGTGGGCGGCACGGAGCCGCAGCCCGAGCCCTCTGCAGGGAGCGTGCGGCCACCACGAGCACTAAGTGTCGCCCTCGCACTTAGCGTGGCCTGGCGCGTCTGCGCATTCCGCACGAGCGTGGTGCGAAGGAAGCGGGCCTCCCTCCCGTGGGGACGGGCTGGCGGGTGGGGCCCTGAGACCGGACGGCCCCAGGTCAAGGAGCCATGCCGCCGCCATGGTGGCCGAGGCAAATTCCTCTTCCAAGGACGGGTGACAGTGCTCACCCCACCGCTTTGAGAGGTGCATTATGTAACGAAGGGGGGCGGTCACCAGGTGTCACCCCCTTCGTCCCCAGTGAGACAGAAATCACTGGGTGCTGTGCTAATTCCTACAAATTAAGTGCCAGCCCCTGCCTTCCCTTACAGCGGTGCAGCTCGTCCCGCCTCTGACCTGGCTCTGGTCACCTTCTGTCCCTCCTGACCCCGCCCTGCCCCCCCCCGCAGGTACTGCGTGGTGGTCCAGGCTTCCGGCGCGAAGGGCAGCGTGGCCTCGGAGCCCCGCTACATCTGGGCGCAGGCGAGGGTCGTCCCCAGCCGGCTCGTGTCCACCTCCTCGGCGCTGGTGAACACCACTGTGGCCTTTCAGTGCAGAATCAACTTCGGCACCGACGTGGCCTTCCTGTGGGACTTTGGGGACGGCACCACGGGCCTGGGGAACAGCTCTGCCAGTCACATCTACTCTAGGTGAGGCGCTCTGGTCAGCAGGATGCCTTACTAGCTGGGATGGCAGGTGACACGTCCTCGCACGCTCAATGAGGACAGCCGTGTCCCGTCCAGGAGTCTTGCATGACTGTCCATTTGCATCATTTGCAAAACGGTCACTCATTTTCTTAGTGAACCAGGACCCGCTTGCCAGGAACGGCCTGGGAGCCCTCCGCCCCTCCCCGGGCCGGCCTCGCCTCCCGGAGCCGGCCCCTCCTGGGTCAGCAGAACCCATCCCACCTGGGGCGGGGGCAGGCGGGAGGGTCGTGCTCAGACGCCCAGGCACAGGTCCAGGACGCCCCTTCCATGGGGACCCAAGGAGGCCCCTGCGGTAGAGAGAGCGGCCAGGCCATGGATGCCACCTCCCCGAAAAGGATGAGCATGTCCCCACATGGATGTTTGTCTCCCAAACAGCGGGCGACACCAGTCTGCGAGCTGGGTGCCTGTCCCGACCAGCGGGCAGTGGGTCTGCTCACGGGCAGCGAATGGCTGCATGACGAGCCTCCTGCCTTCGCAGCCATGGCCGTCGGGGCCGCGCCTACGCAGACATGCAGGCTGTGAGCGCACCGAGTGTGCCAGTCGGCCTCTTGTGTCTGTGCCCTGTCACCCCCCAGGGAAGGGGAGCTCACGGTGCAGGTCCTGGCCTTCAACCACGTCAGCAGTGCCTCCCTGCAGAAGCAGCTCTTTGTAGTGCGCACGCCCTGCCAGCCGCCACCGGTGACCAGCCTGGGGCCCAGGAAGGTGCAGGTGGGCCTGGGGGCTGCCGGCCAGGGGGAAGCCGCGCTGGGAGCTCCCCACGGCCAGCATGGGAGCGGGGAGGGGCCGGAGGCCTGAGGTCCAGGACCGAGGCCCAGGGAGCGGGGGCCATTGGTGGCCCTGAATCCACCCCGTCGCCTCTCTCCCGGCGCCCGGCTCAGTCCGCTTTGGGAAGCTTCCCGAAGCTGCTTGAGCAAACAGCTTGGCATCTCCAGGAGAGAAGAAGGTCTGAATATGTGTGACATCAGGGTTAGGAGACATGCTTAGCCATTCGCTGGGGGAATTGGGCTGCTTTTCATTTGGTCTGTTATGTTGAGGCTTCTGGTTTTCCTTCGCAGAGTCAAAGCGCTCTGCTGACACACGGGAACTAATACCCGGGGGGCCTGCATTTGCTGGAAGCTCTCTGTGGCCTTCTAGCCCAGGGGGTTAGTTGCTGGACCCCCGAGAGTCTCGCTGGGTGGGGCACCGCTGCCCCAAACGTGGCAGTGGAGTTGAGAGGCACAAGCCCGTGGTCCCAGGAGCCCTGCGCACAGGGCCAGCTGCATGGGCTCCAGGGAAGGGATCTCTTCTGGCTCCCAGTGAGCACCCACGTGGCCAGGGGACGCCAGCACCCAGGGAGGGGCTTCCCTGCGTCCCGGAGATGGACAGGAAGTCGAAGGCCGGATCGAAAGGCCGCACGCAGAACAGCAAGGCCCGGGCGGAGGCGGAGGCGCTACCTCCACACTCTGCTCAGTGCGGCTGCGCACGGGCCCGACCCCCGTGACGGTGGCCGAGGGGGACCAGCCCTGCCTGTGCTTCGGCCGGCTCGCCAGCAGTGCGACCTGGGCTGTTAGTGTTTTCTGATGCATTCAAGTTTTTTCACCTTCAAAACAAGCAAAACAATATCGATGATTCCATTTTTCTTTAACTTTTCTCGCTTTTACACATTTTCTAAAAATATAAAGAAAAACAGGAATCACCTGAAATTTAATCAGCAGGAGACAGCCATGGGTCACTGGAGCACTTTTGCCCTGAAAAGGAAAATTGCTCTAAATCTGAGGCCTCAAAGGAATAACAGAAAAGCAATTCTGTTTTTCCTAGCCCTAGGTGCTCAGGAAATATTTATTTCTGGTACCTTTCTAAGGCTCTTTGTGTGTGGTATGTGCACGAGTATGCGTGTGTGTGTGTGCGTGTCCATGTCTGCGAGTTGTATGTGCACGTGTGCGTGTGCGTGTGTGTTATCACAGAATCGGCATCTCTGGGTTACGCTGTGACTCTCTTATGATAAGTGTGACCGTGCGTTTCATGGCGGCGTAGCATCGAACCGTAGCTCAAGTCACCCGTCACCTTACACCCTCGCCGCAGAATGTCGGCCATTCCCGCCCCTGGAGCGCAGCACGGAACGGGCAGTGGCGGCCCGCACCGCCTTCTGCCCGCACCCCTTCCTGCCTGCACCCCCTTCTACCTGCACCCCCTTCTGCCTGCACCCCCTTTCCTCCCACACCCCCTT